CAAGTCCAAAGGGTACAAAGTTACTGCCAAGACAGCTGTGTTAGATATTAGCTCCATGACCTTGGAACAAAGGTCAAGACCCATACAGGAGTCATGAGCAAAAATGTGTCAAGTGTATCATAAAGACCCAGCTAAATCGTTTTGGCCCAGCAACCATTTTAGAAGCCAATAACCTTGACCCTAGGGATGTTCCTTTAGATGAAGATTGCATCACATCTTTGGGACATGGGCAATCATACTGTAATATGTGGTCCAGATCTACCTCAGTGATACAGATTAATGGTTGGTATACAACATTTCGAATGGATGGTCATTGCTGTATCATAATGAACAAAGTATGAATGTAGGGTATAAAAACTGACACCTCCCTGTGTCTCATTATACAAAAACTGACAGCTCCCTGTGTCCCATCACTAAAGCTGACAGCTCTCTGTGTCCAATCAGAATAACTGACAGCTCCTCTGGGCGTCTGCTAGTCCCTCCAGACCAGTGTCAGGGAGGGGAGAAGTAATCAAGAAACTGATGAGGGGAAATAAAATCAATGGCTAAGTACACACCAACTTCACACATGCATGTCCGGTCCAATTAGAAATATCAGATATTCTCCTTCAGTCAACAAGCATCCATGGAACAATGTCCGACTGACGAGTCACGATCATGTCCAGACATCTACAGAATAAATATCTAACTAAACATCTGGCTAGGAATTCACTTACTAAAATTATGAATGAACATAGTGAATATGTGGAACAGATTGGATTTTTTGTTTTTGTGCTCGAATAAAGACGATTGTTTTTTCCCCAAAAAAAATCCAGAATCAAATATCAATGCTATACAGAAACACAATACACATAATATTAATATTTCATATAAATACCAAATTTGTTCTCATCATCCTGGTAATTATTCAATCATAAGACTAAACAGAAATACGGGATTGGCGATTAAAGGAAACAATACCTTCATACAAAAATGTTCATGGTTGTGGACAATAAATCTATGAGTAACAAATAGTCACAGGATGAACATTCATTAAGTATATATTTTTAGTTTAAAAATACTTGGTAAATAAAATTGTTTAGGTAAGTACAACCAAAATTGCAAAGTAGTTCAAACTTGACATTACATACACCTCGACAAGTTTGGTCTTAGAAGCTGAGGATTGTTGAATACAGAAAGTGATGAACACAGGTAGCCAATGGATAAAATGTTTGATGAATACAGGGAGGCCAGCTATTGAACACTTGGGTCATTGACTACGGAGGTCATTGAATGCAAGAGCTGTTGAATACAGGAAATTTCTCAAAACAGATGGTGTTGAATACAAGGTTTATAGAATGAAGGCTTTGTTGTATATGGAATCACTGAATACAAAAGCTCTTGAGAACACGAATTTTTAAACGAAAAGAATGTACATATTTTTTCAGGTACAATAAGCTGGATACGTGATTCTCAACATTTTAAAACAGAAATCACTGCTGCTACCAACATCTCACTGCCACACTGCCACCAACATCTCACTGCCACCAACATCTCAACATTCTTATTTAACGTCCATATAAAGCAGAATATTTGAGAAGTATCTCCTTTCATAATTTTGTTTTCATTCGCATTGCAAAATCTTTCGCTGAAAACATTTTTCTGAATTTCTTTTGAAAAAAGACATCAATCCTTTTGCCTGATGGTAACATGTGACTCATTCCTGTAACTTAGCCATGAAAACTGATGTATCTCCACCATTATCAATCAACCGTCACGTCTTTGAAGAAATTTCTTTCAATAAACCATTTCCCAACCCACAATATTCTCATTCAAATTGTGTGGTATATATACCCCGACTGACATCGTTTGTGGTCATAGCCTTAAATATATTATTAACTGAATCACCCCATATATTACATTTCAAAAATTAGAAACCAAAATAGCAATCGAAAATAAATTGAAGGCACAATGGTGTTCTTGATGTTTAAATGTTTGCAGGTCTGCAGTGAAACATTCATCATTTTGTCAGCTAATAGTCTTAAAAACCACAAAAAACACTTAGCAACGATAACAACCTTTTCTTAGGAAGCTTACACTTTGTTGTAACAACTTTATAAAAAAAAAACTATGACATCCATCAAGAGATTGGCAAAACCAAGCAATCCTGAAATTGGATCTCGGAAACGTCAAGTTTGGTTTTGTACATTCTACGCAGTGCTGGGTGTACAAGATGGCTTGACATGTTTCATTACCTGAAATTGACACTGTTTTTTGCATATTAGGTGCTGGAGTTTACTTGCACATTACGGCACTGTAACAGAGAAAATCAATCACTCTGGTTAATTTATCGTCCCACTGTGAGGACGGAGCCTAGGACGGGGGTGCACATGATCTGCAGCCATGAATTGTATATAACAAAAAAACATAATCAGATTTGGGTTACACAACTAAAGAAATACCCCTATACCTACAGGTACAGATTGAGGATTTGGAATAACGTGTGTGTGGGGGGGGTTGTCTATAGGAGCAAAGTTTGCCTGAAAGTCACACATTTTGGCCATATATTGAGTTGAATTACTTTAACCTAAACCTGCTGTTCCTAATTTAAAAAAAAAAAAAAATCAATAATATCAAACTAAACATTCAGTTAACTTTTGAAGAATAGTGTTTACTTGGTAGATGGCTACATCCTCATTTTCAGTATAAAATATATATGGTCATTCAGCAAATTTTACAACAGAAAATTGAAGCTTAGAACATGATCATGTTAAAGAACCATTATAATAGCTACATGGTGTACATATGATACTGGGGTGAATGATGTAGGCCCCAGTCTTACATCAACTTCACAAGCTAACTTTGGAAGTCTTTTTAATCTTTCAATTACGTCACAAGCTAACTTGGGACAAATCTAAGACATATCGTACAGCAGTCTCTCAATTAAAGGCTCCTTTGGCTGTCCTGTTGTGATGATAAACATTAATAACATAATTGTAAAAGGTCAAAAGTGTATTACACCAATTCATATAGATTTAGTGGTGGTATGCGGGATGACAACTGACCAGAAATATCTAAATATTGACCTAACATTGTCTTGATGGACGTAAATTCAATCTAAGGGTTTTAGTTGGTGATTCAATACTATCTGGCAAAACCTGTACATCTTTGTTTGTGCATCTGCTCATCATTTAGTAGGGTTGTTCCTTTTATAAACAATAACCCTGTTTATTACCATTATAAAGTCATAATCCATGAAATGGTTCTGTATCAAAAGTGTATTCCTACAGTACATTGGAGTACAGTAGATTCCCACATGGTATGATGGATATCACAGCCCTTGTTTATTGTATACAGTACTGTACAACAAAACAGTTCTAGAAATTACAAAGATATTTCAGGTCCCCTACAATAAACATTTTACTATCACAAATTGCAATTTTGGATTTAAGACAGATGAGATAGGTCTAGTCATTGTATGGAAGATGATAAATGTATCCAAACTAATATATTAGTCTTATATACAGTGACTATCTTATCTGCTGAAGTGTTAAACTTCCACTGAATGCTTGGAACATTTACCGCCATCACAGATCTATGTAAACTTTTACCCAAAGTAAACAACTATGTGGTTGATATACTGGTGAGTTTACTTTACAATAGAGAAAAACTGAGACAAACTTAGGAACCATACAGTATCTCTGTGGATTCTCGCAGATCACCCAAGTGGCTTTCAAGGGCCCACGGATGTGTTTGTGCAACACTATTTACCTCCCTTAAGTGGTGCTCTTTAAACATGTGGGGTAGAAAAGTACTGGTGGTCTGTTGACTACCCATTAATTAGAATACCAGAATGTTACATCAGCTGTCAATAAATGGGTCAGATAAGAATGACTCTCAAATACCAATACATCTGCTCTATCAACACAAGAAGATGAAAGTATAAATAACTTGAGCAAAGTTCTCAGGTGTGGTAAAATTCAGCACTTTTTTGTAATATCTTTAATCAATTCATTCATATCTAGGAATTGTTATTCTAATTCATCATGAATGTAATGAAATTTTCTTTTTCACTGTTTACCTGCAGTTTTGTTGATTTATTTCCAACAGAAAAAACAAACAAAAACTGTTGTATAGCTAGTCTACAGCTATAGTAGAGGGCTGAACCGGTTTCATGGTTCAGGTGTGTTTCTATTACAATTGACCTATTTCAGTTTTTTAAAATAAACGTTTCAATTACCACAAAACCCAGTATAATAAAACCTTTGGAACGTGCTGGGAAATGGCACTTCTTCTGCAGTTAACAGCACTTATAGAACAGGTGAAGTTTTTGGGAGCTTTCCACCAACAGGTGAGAGAAAGTCAAAAACATTGGTCTTAGACGCAGACCTATGTACATTTCTTCATTCCTGTAGAAAAACAAAAGGTTTATGTTCCAGGAATAGAAGTTGTATTGTAGAAGTCCTAGGGTACATACATCCCGATAACAAAGCCTCTATCAGACAGTTATAATGGCTGCAGTCATGCTGTGCTCAATGAAAAAGTTCCCAAATATCGGCTTTGCTTCAAACGCAAATTGTTCTAATAATACCTGGTTCTGATTACTGTTTGAAAGAGGGTTTATAAATAGATTTGGAATGCTTTTTGCTGAATCTGTTTAAAAATGGCTACAAATTCAGTGTGAAATTGTGTAAAATAGACTTAAGGTACACTTTTGTACCGTGTGGCGAATGCCAATGTAGATCAAGCATAATGTTTGACAAAATGACAAAAAAATGAATATCACAGGGACAAGAAAGGTTTTATCTTCATGAATTGAATCAATGAGTCATACCAATAATAAAGCTTTAGTGACCTCCCTCTCACCTCCCCACCTCTCTCCAACACACAAAGATGATCTGGAGGTCTATAACAGATCTTATACTGCCGTCTATAGGCATTGTCTTTAGATCAGAAACAATGTCAGCAACTGAACACCTGTAGAAAACAATACACAATTAGACATGTAATTAAAGACTTACCTGTGAGAAATTTAGCTCGTTAAGTGGCACACATTGTTCCTCCACTCTCTCTATTGCACCTGTCACCTTGCCGATTTTCTCCGCCTGTTGAGCTAAGTACAAGTCCAGCACTGGGGTCCCCCTGGACTTAATGTCACTTTCCGTTAAAGAATTCACCATCAACATGACCCATATGGGCCGTTTTCTCTGCCAGTTCCCTGCAATAGCATTAAATAAATAGTCTGCATACATCCCTCTGCCCTTCTGGTCAGCAGACATCCAGGAAGGCATTTTTTGTCTAACATACTCAAGATGGCTCTTCAGTCGGTTGAACATGTCAACCGGCAGTACGTCCGATAGGTTCTCGCCATTAGGCAACAGTTGACAATTGGCCAACGCAGTAACTGTGTAAACATCAGTCAGATCCAACTCAAAGAATATGTTCTCCGATTGTTGAAACGCTTCTTTGGTGCTTTCTGGAATGTGATTCCACACTTTGGTGTAAGGAACATGGATTGTCCCAAAGAAGTAAGAGGGTGGATCTCGGTTTAACGTCCACAGAAAGGAATTCTGGTGATCTGGCTGTAAAGAGAAAGAAACATTGGTCAAATTTTGATACAAGATATAAATTGTAAAAGGTATCATACTCTTAAGTGAAATATTTTTGTAGAGGACTTTCCATGTGGAAATTAAAACATTGATAGTTCACGTGAATAGATCCCCAAAATGAAATTTCAATTTCTGGGGTTGGAGTAGGGGGTTGGGGTTCCATATTTTTTCTGTGTATCCTTATGTCACTTTATCTGAGTAATTATTGCCGGATTTATGAAAATATTCCTCAATCAATGATTAATTAGACATTCTTCAATTTCTTTTCTCCCTTTTTTTTCTTTTTCTTCAAAAGAAGGTAATTTAAGGGACTAGACAAGATACCCCACAGATCTGCTTCTTAATCATGTTTTTCATGACATGTCAAGGTACTGACATGTAAACATGTATGCATATTTTTGTGATCAAGTTATGAACATTTTCCACAATTGTAGAACTTTCCACTTTTATATTGAGTATATACAATTCAGAAAACTCCCGTAAGGAAATTAGAAACCCCTTCCCTCAGGTGGGGCTGGACCTGCCTAAGGCTTACAAACTATACCAAAGTAGATCATGTATGGCCTTGAACTTTACCCTTTTGACCTCTAATAAGAAAATGGTAAGTTAAGATGAGTAAGATAGAGGTGATAGAGATCTTAAGCTTTATATCTGTGACCTTGACTGTACATTTTTGACCTTCCTGAATTTTACGGTTATATGTATTGCAATTGATAGAACTGTAACGGATCATTTTTTTGATAGTAAATGTCTATGAACATCATTTACCATCTGAACTGCCGTTATCACTAGTTATAATAAAGTCTATGGGAATCACCTGTACTTGCTGTCAAGGTGTTGGTGTATATCTGAGGTTAGGATCAGACAGGAGTTGTCTACATTCTATACCAGCCTGTCTGTCAATGGTCTCCTCCAGTCACCATACCTCTCTCCCCGATAAATCAGTCACCGATGATTAACAGGCACCGATCAAACCCCAAAATGATTAAAATGTTGACAGGTGTGTGAAATGTTATGACGAAGATGACTTTACGAGAGATAATACAAAAATTCTAATTACTCTTCCCGCTCCACCTCTTTCAGTTTTACAGCTTTCACTGGTTGAATATCTGATATTTATCTCCCCCCCCCCCCCAAACCTAACCCAACCCTCATCATGGTCTTTAATTTTGCTACAATTCAACAACTTTCACAACCCTTACCCATCCCACCTTCTTAGTCTTATATTTGCTGTAGTTTTACAACTTTCACCGGTTGTCTATCTGACATGGTTTATAGATCTAGTTTACAGGGAACCCTCCCCACGAGATGTGTGACTTTAATGCCCACCTTACCCAAGGTGACAGATGATGTACCCTGATTAGATATGGGGGGATGAAAACCAGTACTGAAGATAATTACTTTGACATTCAGTGGCAGGCCCAGGGTGAGTTTTAGTACAAAGGGCTCAAACATTCTGCACCCGTCAGTAATATGTTACAGTTTTGGTATGATAATGAACGCCACCTCACCACAAAAACCTACTACACATCAAATCATAATATAACTGCCTCCTTCAATCATAAAAGTCAAAATAATCCTATCAAATACCTCACTTTGCTATTTAGAGACAGCACTTTCTATAAAAGTAAATTTTTGAATGATGGCATCTTTGAATCAAACAGAGATAATTATAATATCAAAGTTGACATTCTAACAATGTGATTCATTATATAATAGTTTGATACAGCTCTTTGTAAATTGATCTTGAGTGATGATAAATATCCATTTCATTTGCATAGTGATTAGATGTGGTTTTTAATTAAGTCCAATGAATCCTTGATGTTCTGAACTTTAACTGGGCCACAGTGACTGTGGTGAAAAAGTCAATTCAAAGGTACAAAAAACATAAACATTTAAAAATGATGTGCTAGCAAACAGGTCGTAAATTTAATGGACCACCATGCTGGTGGTACGTTTTGTAATTATGATTCAAATCAAAAGTATTACAATGGATGAAGTAAGAATCTTCGAGATTGATCACCATCATACCGTTACGGGAAGTGTCGACAAAAGCACTGGAAAGGTTAGAACGTGATGTGAGGAGATGTAAAATAGCGGGGGTGGCCATGTGTCTTTTAACGGAACAGAGTATTTCTATACAATCTAATAAATCACACCTAGATTAAATTATTTATCACGGATGTTTGATGGTGGTTGTGATCAAAATGAAATAAAATGTATAGCAACTTTTTCATGAGAGTTTTATAAAATTTTCATATGAACTACCTTCTATACCGATGGCAATGAATACAAAAAATGTTTTTATGATTTTACTTTAGATAACTACGTTTTTCAAAAACATAAACCAAGAAAAATCATCAATGGGTGATATCTGTATGGTTCAATAGTCTCCAGTGGTTCAATAGTCTCCGTGAAAATTGTCAATGTTTATGTCAAGTTTATTTGTTTGATGACTTTCGGAAGATCAGAGTTTTTCATCTTAAGTATTTAACATGATACTGTAGTACATTGGCTACATAAAGACACCTCATACATAATTTATGACTTGATAAACATTTACCACATTGATCAAAAGTTCACCACCGAATACTTGTTTTAATGGCCTCCCTATCCCGTAAGATGTTCAGAACGGCATCTACTGCATTCTTCATTCTGCCAAAATCAGTTCCACATATTTTAATAACAAACGCTACGTCCCTTTGAAAGATTTAATCTTTTAAAACATCCCCAGTGCTATGTTTGTGATTATATATTGTTGGTCTGTTATGACAGCCCTTTAAGAACGAAACATAAAACCCTACAAAATGACTACTGCACCTGCGGCCAACAATCTGGCCTGAACATCAGGATACTTTGGTGCATGAAATAATGGCCGAAATAATATTTGTCCGGATCAAAGTGACAAAACCTACAAGTAAAAGTATATCCCAGCGTGGAACTTTATAGAGACCAATTGCTCAATACAGAAAGAAATGTCCAATGAAATGTCGAGATTGTATGCCAGGTTGGATTACATAGGTCAGTTCCTTACTATGTCTCCATAAAGGACATTATTTTTATCAGTGCATTCCACTTATTGTCACTTAATATCCTGTTCCACTTATTGTCATGTTTTCTTTCTGTTTTATTATAACCAAGACCTGTATCATATTTGTTTTCTTTCTGTTTTATTATAACCAAGACCTGTATCATATTTGTTTTGTTAATATCACATATTTTGAGTTGACATCTTTTTTAAATGTATATCAAATTATCTGTATGTATTATTTTTTAAATAGGACACATTTCACTGAATAAAATTGATAAATAAAGAACATTACATTATAAGGAAACAGAGATCCTCTCTGACAGTTCTGTAGGTGTCTCCTACCTTGTAAATTTGTCCTGATGAAGCCACAACCATACATGCAAACTTGGGTGGTCGGGTGCTGCAGTGGATAGCGCACTTGCCTTTCACCAAGGCGGCTGGGGTTCGATTCCCAGATTGGTTATGCTCGTTTATTTAATAGTATATTAGTGGACACAGTCATTACTGCCTCTATATCCACATCAATATAATTTGAAATACAATGTGGTAAACATAAAATAAGTCTATAATAAGACGCTGTGTGATCGTACTTCAACTCAAGATCTTTCCAGAATTCATCCCAGTTTTTTTCAAAGTTAAATACGTAACAAAATGAAATAACATCTTGTGCGATACTATTCCAGAAAAAAATCTTCAAAATTCAATAGATTCAACTACATGATTTTCCAGACAATGAAAATGTAGGGATAAGGTACCAAGGTGTTGAACAAAAACGTATACAAACTTATTTTACAGGAGTTAAAACAGTGCCTATACTTTTTGAATATTTTTTGTATTTTGAAATTAGTGTACACAAAAGGCCGATGAAATTTTACTATTTCTTGCTCCACCTCTGTATAGTACATTTGCATTATAAATTTACCAGGCAGTTTACAAAAGTATATATACATATACTCAACAATATACTGTGTCATATCAATAATGATTTCAAGAAAGAAAAAAAATAGGCAAACATCTTTAATTTGAAGTTAAGTTTAAAAAATAAAAGATAATTATGTATGACAAAAGCGTTTTTAAAATTTGCCTACCAAAATTATACAGTACATGTACAATTTTAAGGAAATATGCCTTTTTGTTATATACATGTATATGTGACTTAAGTTAGAGATAGAGTTAGCTCCCTTGAAACATTTATAATTAATATTACTCAAATTCCTCAGTGTCCTAGCTGTTATAATTGCAAGTGTTTTTGTATATCTCAACTTATTAACAAAATCAACATCTATTTATAAAACTTTGTTTTAATGATAGTGATACATTTCATAAGGTAACACATGCTTTATTGTATTTATCCTAATAACCACACCATCCTTTATTTACACCCATCTATCCTTAGTCCATGTGCCGCATCCCTTCACATATATTCACCATTACTAACTTTAAAATCATGTCTATTATGAATATTTTATGAGAATATTTGAAGATTAAGTTCTGCAATTACTCCAGTTTTGCTTAACTGCTATTAACTGCCCAGTGTGCTTATTACATTGAATACCGTTTAAAAAAAAATGGCTTCACACTTAGATGAGAAACTCCATATATTACATGTTTGTTTCATTAACTGTTGTATTTACAATTTACATGTTTTTTAAACCATACACAAAGTAAAGTTTTATCTCCAGTCAGACATAAACTACAAAAGTTCACCAAGGTCATAAACATTTGTCACCATATACCTTTGAAAATGAATCACAACAGTGGTGATACTCACTGTCATATCTGTAAACCTGCTCCATATCTATATACATATCGGAGTATTTATTTACCTAAGTGGCATGTAGCACCCTTTGAAGAGAAGACAGGTGGATTCCAGCCTTCTGTGCTCACGTAACATACCACACTTTTATCATACACATGCCACAGACATGGAGAAATGCACATG